ATATATATATATATACAATTTGCTATTTATTTATACATATGCATTTTTAATAAATGATATAAATATATTTCATTTATTAAATGTATGAAATCTATGCAGAATATATATTTTTATCACATGGTTACAGAGTGATTAAGATTAAGATAAAAATTAAAATTACTGATCTTAAACAAGATCATTGACATGTAATTGATCTTTATTTCTTAAATAAGATTATTGATATGTAATCAACTTTTTCCGAATCAAAATTAAAAAATAAGTACAGAAATAATGTAATCATTACGTTATGAATAATTACATCACTCTTTCAGCAATGTTACATTTATCTTATACAATTTTGTTAAATTGTTGAAACAAGAAATGAAAATTAAAAAATTGTACAATAATATATAATGTATGTTATAAATAAATTTACAAAGTGAGCAAGGTTTCATGAAAACAACATTTCGAGGACTGAATATACATAAGAACGATTCATAATTGTCATAATTGATATTAAATATAATATTTTTCCTCGGAAATGTCGCGTTTATAATTTCTTCATATTTAATCTATTTTTTAATGTTACAAAGTATTAAGACTATGTCTTTTTATAGCCGTATGAATTGATAGCTGCAACAGAAAAAAGATCGTTCTTATCGAAAAGTTTTATTAAAATACACTCGCGTCAAATAGTTTTTAAACTTTATTTTAATTTTATCATTTTGTTCATTTTGTTACTATTATGAAACGAGTGATGCAATTTTCTTTTGTACATACCTTCATATTCCTTGTCAGCCTGTATCAGCAAGGAATACCATTCGGATCCATTTATTTTTATTTCCAGCGTACCATCGTATTGCGCTGGTAGACATTTCGGTGATATGTATTGATGCAATGATTTGCGATCGGTGCCGTGAAAGATTATCTAGCAGAAGAAAAAATAAAGAAATATATAAAAACTGAATTAGCAAATCAAATCATTAATATTTAAGGAAACTAATGCTACTTGAAATATAATAATTTATTATTATTATGTACTTTTAACTCTATTGTTAATTTAAATAATCTATATGCGATGTATATTACATTCTGCAATATTTCTCTCTTGTTAATTTTGTAACCAAATATTATTTTTTAAACAAAATAGATTTTTTAAATTTATTTTTGCAGGCTATTCTTGTTCTCTTTGAGCTATTATGCAATGTCACCACAATTTTATAGTGTTCTAAGTAATAAATGTTTTTTGTAACTCTGAATTTAGAATCGAGTGAATATTTTGCCAAAATGTAATTATTAAGTTCCAAATTTAAATACTGATTATTAATAAAGTTATTACATAAATTTATAAAACGTAAATGGATATCATAATATCACCTTCTCCTTCATATAACTTCTCATCTCTGAATTAACGCAATATTTTTTTAGAATTTGCTGTTTTACAATTTGATGGCATAGGTATTGCTAATATTTTGATTTATAATATACTCACTCTGTTTTTCAATTTCTCTTTCAGGAACGGTTTGAACAGAGCGAACACCATGTTGAATATATACGGTTGATTTACAATGTGTATGTTTTTTATCCTTACAGGCACTGCTTCTTGAAGCAAATCGACTATCCTCTTGGCAAACGGCGGGGTAAATTGCCAGGCTTGCTGAAGGGTGAGACCATCCATGTCAAAGATGATAATCGCGCCAGCGATCTGTGTACTCGGTTCCATTATGGCCGCTTCCAAATACAATACACATCCTTTATAAATTTCATCGAGGCTGCACTTATTGTGCTTCCATTTTTTGCCAAGTTCAATTATCACTATACGTCGGCTGTGTTGATCGCGATTAGGCAACGCGGTTAGGATGTTTTGCTCGAAGATATTTTTCTCATTACTCGGCTTTAAGTTGTCATACACATTCGCATGTTTCACCTTGAAGTTGTAATAGTATTTGATGAGCTTCAAAGACGATTCGGGATAATACTTGCACGGTCTCAGAAATTTAATCAACCAGGCTTCATTGTCCAACGGGCATTTCAAATCTTTTTCAGCTGTCAAATAAAAATTTTAAATAGTTATAAAAAATTTTAAACTGTTATAAAAAATATCCAAAAAGTTTAATTCTTACAGTATCATGATTAATTCGGTAAGAGTAAACCTCAAATCCGTTCATCTTTTTCATCTATTTAAAATGGTTACAAAAAGACTTTAAAAATTTATAAACACACTTTTAATTTTGTAGAACAAATGTTTGAACTTCATTTTGGAAAATGATAAAATGTAGTTTAATTTAATTATCAAAGAAGTCATAAAAAAATTATAAATCGGATAAAAGTTGCATTTGATTTAAAAAATTGTAATTATCTATAATAAATCTATATAAAAATTACTTTAAGATTTTTTAAATTTAGATACGAAGTTTTGAAAAAAATTCAAGAACTTCAAATTCTTCAAAAAATAAAATTTTTGAAGAATATAAATATGTATATTTAGAATTGAATTTCGTGCTGTTTACAGCAAAATTGACAATCACAGAATCGCCATACCTGCACATAAGTCTCTTCTTTTACAAATTCTCTTTTAAGAGGAGATAAGGATTGCCGCGTTCGTTCAACGTGCAAGAAATTTGCTTGAACAGAAATCGATTGGTCACGAAATATCCAAGATAGTAATTTCGAAACAAAAGAAACATTGCATATTATAAAAGAAAAATGATATAAAGTCGCTCGTATATTATTAACTATCGTTAATAATTAAAATTTAAATGTCTGCCATATTTAACAAAATACTTAAATCATCCATTAAAAAATTATCTGTAATATCAAATGATAAAATTTATCATAATCAAATGTCATTAAAAATTTGATTAAAAAACTTACATCGTAAATATATTCACAATGATCTGTTAAAATGTGACGTACAGACGACACTTTGTGAGAACGTGTATAAGAGATTAAATAGAAATTATTAATATTAGTGCGGTAAAGGAGTACAATAAATAAATACAACACAAAATGTAAATATTAAAAATAAAATAGGTATTTTTAACGCATAAGTTCTTGTTGCGCACTTTTGCGATGCTTAAAGCTCAAAGGCAACTGTTATCAAGCATAGTTTGAAGAAAAATGAAAAATGAGCATTTCGAGTTAGAGGAGGATTTATGTTGTATAACCGATCGATGATTAGAGATAAATTTTAATTTTTATATTGCAACTATATTTAAAACCTTAAATGCGTTTTTCTGGAAATCATATCTTTCAAGTCAGTTAATATAATTTCAGGAATGTAATTACTGAATCTATTAATGTATGTAAAATACATGTCTGTTTATTGCATGAACTGATTATTACAATATGTATAAATTACTTTTTCATAAATATTAAATTAAAACATTTTATTTAAAAAATCGATATTTAAAAATCATATCATTTGCAATATTTTTCATTTTTCTTAGTTTAAACAATATAGTCATACTAATAATAATAATCAATAATAACTAAAAATTCTTTTGTATCTTTTGTATCTTTTTAGATAAGGATGTTTTGTAGAGATTTCAAAATAATAACAAAATTATAAAAAATTACTGATTATTCTAAAACACAATAATATAATAAATTAATTTTGAAAGTAATATATAATAAATTTTTGGTGACGATTTACTATCTCTATCACAAAGTTATTTTGAATACTTACTTCATACAAAAATATTTAGATATTTGTATCATTTCTTAAATTTTAGTTTATAAAAATAAAAGTAATAAAAAATAAATAAATAAACTATAAAAATATGTTGCTCAATAAAAAGAATGTTATAAACATAACTTTTATATATATATATATATATATAT